AGAAAGAAACATTGGATTGCGCTCGACAGTGCGAAATATCACAGCATTCCAAGCGTTTAATTCTAAAAGCTGTTTCTTTGTATTTTTTTTACAAGAACTTTTGGCGTCTCATGAAACTCAGCTTAGATAGATTGGCACTTCTACTCAAAGAAAATTAAAACCAGTAGAGAGAAAGAGAAAATACATTAATAAAAGTGATCATACCACATGTTTCTGTTTCGCAATAGGTGGAAAAACATTCGTAAGCCGTTTCACCAAACAATTCTGTCACACAATGCGTTTCCCCTTAATTATGTTCAGCGTTTTCTTTCCGTTTTTTTTTACGCAAACTTTAAGTGGGAAATTAACGGTTTGTGTCTTTAGATAAAAATCAGCTCTTGATTTGACACAAGCTCTGTATCTGCTAACTAATTGCCGGAGGTACCGACTTTCTCAGCACGCATTGAATAAAATTAACATATTAATTTGCACAATAAGTATGCCTGATGTTAAAATATTGAAACTTTTCGAGTGTCCATCGATAATTTTATTTAACTTTCCATAAAATTAACATATTAATTTGCACAATAAGTATGCCTGATGTTAAAATATTGAAACTTTTCGAGTGCCCATCGATAATTTTATTTAACTTTCCATTACGTTAACACAAAATACTTCCTATTTACATTTAGATTAATTAATTTATGGTCGGGTAACCAATCTTGTTATGTCTAATCATATCGAAAACAAGAAAATACATTAGTTATTAACTGTATTATTGATAATAACACGATTTACTGTTGTTAAACCATATCAAACAGTATTTTGTACATACTTACGAAGGTTATTCATTATATCCATTCACGTTCAGCGTCGGTAATTTTTATGTTATTTCCGACCTTCATTCAAATATTTCATGTAAGATGAAGCATTCATATTGTGTTATATTTGATATTTATTGAAGTACGATCTATAAAATGGAGTACTTTTTGAGTTATTTCAAACATTCAGTCAAGCAAAGACTACAAACGGAACATTCTTTTTTTTTTGGTTTTTCAGGCATTCATTGAAGTAGCATCTATAAGATGGAACATCCTTGGTTGAGGAGTTATTTCAGATACTCATTGAATCTAGTTGAGTAAGTTTGAGTATTCTTTTTTTGAGTTATTTCAGATATTCACTCACATAGAGTTTATAAAAGGGAACTTTCTGTTTGAGCTCTTTCTGGCATTCGTACAAGTATATTCTCTAATAGATATTCATATAGATTTTACAATATTCATTGAACTAGAGTCTATAAGACAGAATTTTCTTGACTGAGTTATTTCTAACTGTTGAAAGAATCTGTACAAATGCTTCGTATTTTTTCTCGTAAAGTGATGACTAAATGCTATGTCATGAAAAAATACACTTCCTTAAAAGGTCCAGAAACCAAGCTGTACTAAGTGTACTTTTGTGACGTGATCTAGCTTCTTGAGAAACTAACAGTTTTGCCAAATCCATTAAGTTTAGTGTATACTATGTTGTTTTCATAACTAAACAAATCTTTTAATAATTGCAAACTCATAACCTGATTAGGATGTTTATATTTTTCAACAGGTTTGATGAGGTAATGTAATCTACTGAACATATTTCTCGAGTTCTTGACAGCATACCTCATAAGGTTTTTGAATGTTATTAACTATCTCACACAAAAGTTGCTTAATTTGTTTTACATTGCTTATGTAAATAAGCTGTAAAACTTGTAGCTGCATCAACATGAAGGAACTATTCTCACCATATCTAAAACTTTCTGCAAAAATATTGCCACTGGTTGAATCCGTCATGATGTAATCTGGTTCCAATGATTTGAAATCTCTTAATTTGTTTTATGTTGCTTATGTAAATAAACTGTAAAACTTGTAGCTGCATCAACATGAAGCAACTATTCTCACCATATCTAAAACTTTCTGCAAAAATATTGGCACTGGTTGAATCCGTGATGATGTAATCTGGTTCCAATGATTGGAAATCTCTGTCATTAAAACTAGGTCTGGTGTGACACTGTTGTCATGATGTGACAACATAATATTTCTACTCCTTGATATTATTCAAATGTCATACTCAATCATTATTGTAGTAGACATCAAGCTTTTAACTGCCATCCTTCTCATCTTACTTAATTTCAGTTGCAACAGAGCAACACTTTCTTCAATATTTCCACTTCGGAAGGGCACAACTTCTTGATGATACTATTTAAGGATAAAACAAAAAAGTAATACTAAGAAATTAAAAGATTCCATCCTGGTGGTTCGTATCTAAAATGCACCTGAAAAGCTTTTTTATTATTTACTAGGTTACTGCTCATGTCCATGGTTGAAAATTCTTGGTAGAGACTTAATTTGATATCATGGAGAAATGTTACTAATGGCTTGGCTACTTGTGTCTAATTTTTATATAAGAGTACTTTAATAGTTTTACATTTCACCTGAATGTGCTTCTCTAATAGTTTTACACAATCTGTGTGTTACCAATATTAATTTTACTATGGCTAATCCAGGGCAATTCTTGGTCATGTAGTTGATAATGGACCAATGGAATGCTGACATTCATCCATGGCTGCTTCTTATGTGTCCACTGTAATAAAATATTGAAATATGTTATATGACAGTTTTCAACCAAAACTACACTTTTTTTTTCCTTCGAAGATATTATATATATATTACATGTATATCAGTAATTATTTTTTAGTTCCCAGATTAATTGACTTTAGATAAATTAGGTTGAGATAACTAACTAGTTATAATTAATCCATATTACATTCAGGTGATGTGCATTATTTCATATTGTATTAGCATTCACTACATCTGATAGTTAAAAATAAGACCTAGGCATTAATAGTTCTGTAACCTTGCATGGTTTAACTGATAATCTCAAAGTAGAAAAGAATGCTTCAAACATCTTTTTTTCTTTTCCAAAAAGTTGTTGACCATACAGACACACAGACTTGTACACACATACTTGGAAAGTACCATACAGTATTATGGTATCAAAATAGGGGTAGTCAGTAATGAACTGTGTAAACACAGGTTCATTGGCTATTATAAAAGTAAAAACAAATATATATATTAAGTAGTTTTTAATATTGCCAGACAACTAACTTTCCTTCGTTGTTTGGTCCTCTAAGTTCTGGCAGGTACTGTTGCTTCTTGATTAGTACGAATGATTCAGTTTTATTATTGCATCATGACAGTAACTTAACTTTCAACAAATCAAATCTTTCCTCTTTCGAAGGACGGTGGTAACATAACATAGTGTCTTTTTTCTTGGTGGTTTCTATGTCTTTAAAAATGGAAGATGCATGAATAAAGCTGGAACAGTATTGTTTTAATATTGGTTAATTACTCATCATTTCTGGGAAGTTTGTTTGGGTGCTGTCAAAATATTTATGTAAAATTTTTCACATCACTTACATCAGTGGGGAACCAAATAACTACTTTAAGTATTAATACAGAGTAATAGTTGTGAAGAAGGAGAATTATTATTATTATTATGGCAAATTTGTCATTGAAGTTGAATGTTTGATCTGTTACTGTTTATGTACTAGATAAAACCTAACTAATCTACTCTAGGAAAAACCATAGGCTTCCCAAGCAGTAAACTTAATTTAGGTAACATTACTTAGTGCTGATTGATAGCACTGACCACTAACATTTAATCTTTGTAAATAAGCAGTACAGGTAGCATCATCATAACCTGTGCTTTTTATGTTCCTGATGCAAAAACAAATAGCATCATACCTTAAGTGAGAAGTGATAACAATGTTGTTGCTTACTTCTGTCATCCAGTAAAGTGTTAGGCTAAGATTACCTCTACCTGTTTTCTGAAGTCTCTGGCAATATGACCCTTACTGACCATGTCATGACTTGTACCACCTACTGACCAGTTCCTCTCTATTGTGGTTCTCAGGCACATAGATTTTCCTTAAGAGTAAACAATGTTTTAGGATCCACAGAATAACTGGAGCCTCAGTCAGGAAATGTTTCACGGGGTAAGTCTAAATTCTGTGACTTTTTGCCATGCTTAACTAATAATGAAACTAGACAATATATATATCAGATGAAACAATATTTAGTGAACACCAGACGCTATTAAAAGAACAAATGAGTGTACTTATGATACTTTGGCTGGAGATTTGGGAGTTTTGAGTGGAGTAGATTTATGAATACCCTAGTATCTGAGCCAGATTTAGTAACATAGTATTATATATATATACAGAACAATAATGATACTCTTCCCAAAGCACATGTGCTACCTATATCACTGTTGATTTTTCCCTTCAAAAAATCAAGGAGGATGTATCCTTATAGTTTAATTTGCACCACCAGTGAAAAAGATTTATTGCCTGTTTTTACATAGTATATCCAACTTTACATAACTCTTTCTTACAAAAAGGTGCATGTAATACCTTAGCTAAATATCCAGAACAATAAGTAACTAGAGAAAAAGGAATTTAGCCATTTCCTTGACCAACAGTCTGTAGTTTAAACTACAAACAATTATATGCATTGATCTGTTAAAATTTTTGTTAACTTATAGTTAAATAAAAAGGTTAGAAAACACCTACTATGCTTGTATACTATGATTCTGTCAATAACCCAGGATTATTTTATGTGTCTATTTTGTTTTACATTTTATACAGAAGTTTTTTTGTTGTTGTTGTTTTCTTGTATTCCTTTGCAATTTCTTTATCAATTAAATAGCATACTTTATTCAATTATCCATTCCAAATGTCTGAATTGCACCATGAAATGAATTATGACGTGTTCTCTGTAACAGTGAAACATTAGAAATGTGAATAATCAGATGACAGCTATGGGGAGATGGAAAACTCTCAAAGTCTAGTGTACGTAAAGTATGATATAGGATTTTTAATAATTGTACAATGAGGTTTTTTTAAGCATTTTTCTTAAGTGTATGTGTATACATTTTCTCTCATATGTTTTCATTAATATCTCAGTGTAAATTTTTTTTCCTCATAGTATTGGATGAAATACTGGAAGTTGATCAAACCAAGCAGTCAAATGAGGTAGAAAAAGGTTTATCTGGGTTGCACTAAAAATTCATTGTATTTGCAGTGTCCATATAATATTTACCAACAATGTTTTTGTTTTTCTTTCAAAGTGCAATAATAGGAAAGATTAAAGTGTCTTGGATTTGTGTATACAGGTAATACCTTTGTGCAGATATGTGTTAAGCAACACATAGCTTGTGATAGGAATGATTTATATATAGAATCCTAGGTAATGTAATTTAACTCCAGTTATGTTGAAACTTGTCTAAACAGTTGAAAACGTTTGTTGCATGCATTGAACCTATTGATAGTTGAAAAAGATTAGCTGATATTGTTCATTTTTGTAGTATTTAACTACAGCTCTCTAAATCTAATCTGAATTTATACAAAGTATTTTTACTCTGAATAACCTTGTTTTTCACGAAGTGTTGTTTGATTTGAGGGTGTTTGAATTGCATTTTCGGTGTAAACGTGTGCATTGTTTTCTAGAAAACTGTGCTGCAGTACAGTGTCATTGAAACTAACTTCTAGTTAGGATATATTTAGGAAAAAATTTATGAATAAGTCTCCGATTATTTTTTCTTGATTTGTTGTAAATCTATATATTTTTTTTGTAACCAACCATCTTATCATTTATGTTTTGCTGACATCAAAATATAGGAACTTATTATTTGAAAATATTTCACTTTAACAAAATCTGTGTTTTTGCTCTCTGTTGAAGTAATTTTTTCATTATTATTATTATTAAGAATGTATTTAATGATGCCATATATAATTTAGTTTTAAGATTACAGATGTAATAGTAATTTTAAGTATTAATATGTTGGTCTGTAGACTTGCGAACGTGAAGGTGGTTATTAAAATTGTGAGTGAAATAAATATGTAGAAGGATACAATTCAGTCTCGTATGTTAATATATGTAGTTAAGGTTATTTAGACACTACAAGTGTATTTCTGATCATTATGTTTCATAAATTGTTAGTTTGCAGAAACAAAAATACCAAGTGGACGTTCTCATATAGTGTGTATAACTGTAGGTATATGTAATTCATGTTGCAAATCAAACCTATATATTAGCATGACTTTGAACAAAAAATAGGTGTACATTACACTGATGTTATAGGAAAATCCAAGTATTAGATGATTGCTTATAGATTTGATGAATTAGAATTTTGGTAAGTCACAGCTAAGATACTTTATGCTTTGTTAAATATCAAGCTGTAGTTGCTTCTGTGTCATTATAGTGTCTTTCTTTACACATTAACAGTAGGTGGCGCTAGTCACAAGCAGTAAACCATTTGAGGCTAGAGTTTTGCTTGAAGAAGCCATGAGTAAGAATAGTAATCTTATATTTTTAGTTTTTCTTTATGTATCTTATGTGTTATTGCTGAACTGTAAAGAACAAGTTCTATTATTATTGTATTATTATATTTGTTATATCAACCAGAATTAAACTTCCTTTTTTTTTAGCAACGAAAAAAGGGAATTGATAATAAGATTCCAGTTTATACTCGTCGGAACAATACTCTGAGATGTAAGGGTAGAATTACAAAGTGATTGTAATGTAACTGAAATATAAAAAATGTATCAAAAATAATCCATTTTGCCGATAGTGTATGGATAATCAATATTAAAGGTTTCAGTTATTATTTATAACTTTCAGATTTCTTATGTGTACTTTCCATTAACATACTGTATTGATACTACATCAATAAATTTAAATAGTATAAAAACTTACTGCTGTCATCATGTACTTTATATATATACACATACGTATATTTGTTTCGGTTTTGGTTCTGAAAACCTTTGATACGTCTGTTGTTTTATTTTTTTTTTTTTATCAATACAGTCAAGTACAGTGCTGTTAACTGAGTGAAGTTCGTACAAAATCAACCTGAGTAAAATCCATCATATACATTCAAGTACATTACTGATAACTGAATAAAGTTCATATACAATCAAATGCATTACTGGTAACTGAGTGAAATTCATCATGAACAATCAAGTACTCTGCTGTTACCTGAGTAAAATCCATCGTACACATTCAAGTACATTACTGATAACTGAATAAAGTTCATATACAATCAAATGCATTACTGGTAACTGAGTGAAATTCATCATGTACAATCAAGTACTCTACTGTTACCTGAGTAAAATCCATCTTACACAATCAAGTTCTCTACTGTTACCTGAGTAAAATCCATCGTACACATTTAAGTACATTACTGATAACTGAGTAAAATCAATCTTACACAATCAAGTATATTACTGGTAACTGAGTGAAATTCATCATGTACAATCAAGTACTCTACTGTTACCTGAGTAAAATCCATCGTACACATTTAAATACATTACTGATAACTGAGTAAAATCAATCTTACACAATCAAGTATATTACTGGTAACTGAGTGAAATTCATCATGTACAATCAAGTACTCTACTGGTAACTGAGTAAATTCCATCTTACACAATCAAGTACTCTACTGTTACCTGAGTAAAATCCATCGTACACATTTAAGTACATTACTGATAACTGAATAAAGTTCATAGACAATCAAATGCGTTATTGGTAACTGAGTAAAATCAATCTTACACAATCAAGTACTCTACTGGTAACTGAGTAAATTCCATCTTACACAATCAAGTACTCTATTGTTGCCTGAGTAAAATACATCACACATATTTAAGTACATTACTGATAACTGAATAAAGTTCATAGACAATCAAATGCGTTAGTGGTAACTGAGTAAAATCAATCTTACACAATCAAGTATATTACTGGTAACTGAGTGAAATTCATCATGTACAATCAAGTACTCTACTGTTGCCTGAGTAAAATACATCACACATATTTAAGTACATTATTGATAATTGAATGAAGTTCATAGACAATCAAATGCATTAGTGGTAACTGAGTAAAATCAATCTTACACAATCAAGTATTTCTGTGTTTTAAGATGTTGTGGTTGAGCCAAAGGAAAATTGGACTTCAACACAAACAAGAATTATCTTCGCTACTACATCTGTTTTTAGATTTGTTTCCTGGTCCCAAGGGGTATAATTATCGCCAGACTTTGGAAAATATTTTCTTCAATGTTATTCTACCTGGTAACATACAGATGGTTATATTTCAAAAATCATGAAGCGGAGAGCGGACCGCAGGGTCCACGTTTCTAGTCCTATAGTTGAAGGAAGTTGAAGATAAATGTTCAAGAAGTAAATTACAACAAATATATTTAGCCCTACATGCACAGGGTCAATCCAATGAAGCAAACCCATACTTGATAATTAATACTTACTATAAATTTTATAACTTCAAATTTATTTAATTATCTTTACACAATTTGGTAAGCTTTAAATTAACATTACAAGTGTGTTGTACACAAAAAAATCAAAAACACGTCATGATTATTACAAAGTTGCATCCAAAACTTAAATAACCTTATTATTAGTGTTTGTAAATAAACTTGGCATTAAAACATAGTTTATAAAAATCTAATTTTAATATTACATAAGTTTTTATTTCTTAACTTAAAAATGGAAATATTTAAATAAATTCTAAATTTTCACTTTTATGTCATGCGATTCCTCTCTGTTCTGAATTCTCAATTTTAGATATTTTTTCTTCACTTGTATGGGTTTCAGAATGTCCACCAATGAAATACACCAACTATGGATATTGATAGATCAGAATTTAGAGTAAGAACCTCCCACCTTTATTTTCTGAGATATCAGTTAATTTGTTACACCCACCACAGCTCTACATCATTTGAAATTACTTATTTAATCATTCTTTTGTCAATGGTTCATGTTTATAACCAATAGAAAGGCCATTTTGGGAACTACACAATTATGAAATATTCTTTTTAATTTATTTTGGTAAAAAATGCCATTTTCCAAACGTGTTATTGAGTGAAGACTGAAGTTGGTATTCTGTCACTTAGAACCTGACATGGCCTGATGTTTAGTACATTCGACTCACAATCTGCGGATCACAAATTCTAATCCTATTATCAAACATGCTCACTGTTTCAACCATGAGAACGTTGATCCACTATTCGATTAGTGTAACCCAAGAGTTGGTAGTGAGTGGTATTCACTAACTGCTTTCCTTCTAGTCTATAACTTCTAAATTAAGAATGATTATTTCAGAGAGCCTTCAAGTAGCTTTGCTCAGAATTCACTAAATAAACAAACAAATGGGTCAGTTGGAAAGCCAGATAAATTATTGTAGGTTTGGGGCATTCTGTTTTACTGTTTGAGTTTTAAAATGCACATATGAAAGCTATAAGAATTATTTTTTGGACAAACAACTTATTGAAAAAATTTAGGGTTAATGGAGACAAGTTTCTAAGAACAGAAGAGCCTCAATTGTGAAGAAAGTGCTAATTATTTGACTTTTAATGTATATTTCTAAAAAGTAAATAAAATATAAAATTTAGAACTTATTAGATTAGGTTAAAAAAAGCTTAAATGAAAATAATTATAAAAAAATTTCACCTCAAAGAACCGAAGAACATATGTAATTAGATGTTAAGTGATGTAACCTGAAATTTTGTTTACCTTAAACTCCACACGCTCGTACTGGGTGATTTTATTGCTATTCTTGGTTAGTTAGGCATGGTTCAAAGTGCAATAAAACTATAAAATTAAATAAAAACAAGTGTTAATTGTTATGAGCTTATATGTTTAGGATAAAGAATTCTAATTTTCTTTTACAATCTGCAGTCACTCTGGAAAGGAAAAAAAAATGGGTAATTTAGATATATTTCTTTGTGGTAGTTACAAAGTCTATGAAGTGGACTAAGTCCATATATTGTTAGGGTAGAGAAAATAATAAATAAAATATACAAGTTTTACTGAAACAAAAACATTTAAGAGGTTATGAAATATGAAAACTGAAAGATGAAAAAGTATTTTGTTTCTTAACATGGAAAATCACCTTGCACTCAGACTATCCAGAATCTGAGTCAGACTGATAAATTTAGAAACAAATCTTTAATAGAATTATATCTATTAAAAAGTCAGATTACGAGTACAAAGTCTTCTATTGTTGATACTTGTTTTTTAATGCTATCATGTAGTTTATTCAGCGAAGAATATTATTTTGTGAGAATGAAAATAGCATTACAGTCAGGAATTAACACTGTACTAATCTTAAAGCAGTAAACAAAGTCTATTTATTCAAAATTAAGGGTAGCTCTGCCAACTTACTCCAGTGTATGTACAAATTTGCTAACTAGTTTTTGTTTCATTCTTTGACACGTAAGTCTTGGCAAACAACTTCAAACAGTTGTAAAAAGGCAAAACTAGTTGGCTCAGTAATCTTCTGGTAAATTAGTGGCAACAAGGAAAAAGGCTAAATAAATTAAATTATTTAGTGAATTTAGTGAGAATATAACTCACTTGAAAGTGAGCTTACTCAGAAATCTTGTCACAACTTTTTAGTATGGTTTCAGATAACTTTATTTTTGGAGAATCACAAATTTCTTATGGCTGCCTGCACTATGCTAATTTG